AGTGTGGCAGCCGAAAAACAGCAAGCTACTGATGCTAATGTGAATTTCTTTCACGTTCTAGCGACGATTGCGATCTGCTGTCCATTTGGGATGACAAGCAGCCGGCGAATCGCAAATATCCGCAATTCTGTCACGAGTTGCTGCACAAGCAGGTGCCAAGTTTCCTCAAAGTGTACACGAATGATAATTATGGCATCATCAAGATGTTCTCGCAGAGTGTACAGATTATATTGAAGCACGCCAAGATGCCGGAGATGGCCATGTGAGATAGGTCGAGCTTCGGCTGGGAGGACTGGACATTGGGCTGGATCGGCCACGAGGGGGAGCAACGACTGTGTTTTACATAGATTTTGTGACTAGCAATTAGCATTTAGTTATTCTGTCAAATTAATTGTATTACATTTACGTTAAGTATTTACCCCAACCCCCCCTCTGTTGACACCAAAAAGAAGCAACTAGAACCTGTTCCTGCCCCCCTGCCCATTAGCTAATGACTGGATTGCATTTAAGCAGCAGCTTCTTCGACTCTGTTCAGCTTCTTGTTCGAGTACCCCTACCCCTTTGTGCATAAGTTACTCTAGGCTCTATGGATCGACTCTAAAATTTACAAAATACTTTCGTTACGTTTAAGTTTAAGCTAAGCTTTTTACATTTAAATTGTACGACAAAAGCGAGAAGACGGAAAACGCGTCAAGCATGTAGCATATGGATGGATGGATGGATTGATGGATGTATGAATGGTTGGTAGGAAGTATTAGTAGTAGCAGCAGCAGCAGCCCAGCCGTGCGACGAACTTAAACCCCAAAGCAGGCAGCAACAAAAAAAGATTACAAAAAAATAAAGTTGAAAACAAGAAGAAACAAAAACAAAACATACCTACTATACGATACACAAGTGGTCATGTTAAACTAAAGGAAATAAATATATTTTTGTTGTTTGGCTTTAGTTGCATTTGTGTGTGCATCATTTGTTGCAACAAAAACAATTGCTTAAAATGTGCGAGAATTGAGTGCGCGCATTATTTGAAAATCGATACTACCATCACCATTTACCAGTACTGGCCTTATTCCGCTGTGCAGCGTTACCCAGCACTTACACTTACTTTTCAGGGTGACCATATGCTCTTCGGATATTTAAACTAAGAAGTTTTGTTTCTTAAATTGTATTTTTAAGGTACATTCAATAATATAGGGTATCCAAACTACCACTTAGCATGTTTTTCAAATTTCCCTCGAGGTTTTGCTCTCTTTTAAATGCATTCCTTTGCATGAATAAAATTAAGCTAAAAGCCATTGACGCTAAAAGAATCAACAGACCGTGTTGCTGGTTCATTAATGATACGAAATGAAAATGTTTAAATTTTTAACCGCACCACGCTCTCACCACTAATATTGTCAGCCTGCTATCGATATTTCTTAACTGTCGTGTGGTATGGTCGATTGTCGCCCATCTCAATAAAAAGATAAGAAAGATCAGTGGAAAAAGAATGGGCGGAACGACAACACAAGTTAATAAACTGTTTTTCCATTATCAAACCAGCATACAAGTTCTGTTTGGTGTTTTCGTTATTTGTTACCACATGCTTTGATAGGCACACACATGCCAAAATTCACGTAGTCAAAAGTAACATTTGTGATACTTGCGATACTATCGATAACACATCCCATATCATTTTTAATTGTACCAAGTACAACACAACAAGACTACCCATCGCCCATCGCCAAGGAAATATAATAATTTCGAAAAAGACAAAATTAGCTCGTAACAAACATTAATCGAGTTCATCGACAAAATTGGAGTAAAACTTAAACAAGTTACATTTCTCGACGTGGCGATTTCCACCGTGTAAAGGCGGGCGGACAAATAACCCCCCTCTACCCCAAGGGTGGAGAAAAGAAAAATCGAAAAAAACCTATATTTGGGCGTGTTAAATAAAGTAAACTAGCATCATGCTCTACCTGGAGGACTACCTGGAGATGATAGAGCATCTGCCGCAGGAGCTGCGGGACCGCTTCACCGAAATGCGAGAGCTTGATCTGGCCGTGCAGAGTGAGTGCCTGAGGTCCACCCCCACACCCTGGGGGCACACCCAAACAAAAAAATTGAAAGCATTTTTGAAGCTAATTTTATTTTTCTGGGCAACAGACAACATGGACTCGCTGGACAAGAAGTCGCATTTGTTCTTCAAGCAGTGCAAGCGCGACGAGCTGCAGCACGAGTCCATGGACACGGAGTTCCACAGCCTGCGGGCCGAGTACTTCAAAGTGATGGAAGATGCCGACGAGAAGGTGGCCATTGCCACACAGATACACGAGCTGGTGGAGCGCTATCTGCGCCGCCTGGACAGCGAACTGTTCAAGTTCAAGTGCGAACTGGAGGCGGACAACAACGGCATCACCGAGATCCTGGAGCGACGCTCCCTCGAGCTCGACGGCAACTCCACGGCCGCCACAGCCCTGCTGTTGAGCATGAACCAGAAGGAGAATCGCTACTACGGCGCCAGTTCCATCAACAGCGCCGCCGGCATCATCACCAGCACAGGCAGCATTGGCACGGGCCCCACAAATCTCGGCCTGCCGAGCACCCCCGTAGGTGGCGGCGTCACAGGCGGCGCTCTCACCACCAGCCTGGCCGGATCCCATCTGAGCAGCAGTCAGCGGCATCGCAAGCTGGAGAAGCGACGCGAGACAATTTGCACTGTGCCCGTGCAGGAGAAGCGAGCAAATCTGAATCATTCGCTGCCCACCGTGAACGCAGGCGCCACTGCCTCAGCCCCATCCTCCGCAGTCTCGGCAGCAGCGGCTGCAGCAGCCGCCTCCGGCCTGGCCGTGCATCCAGCACATGCAGCGGCAGCGAGCAATCACGTGACCAACAGCATCGCCGCCACCCATCTCACGCTGCCAGTGGCCGTGGCAGGTGTGGCCGGTGGCGTCGGAGGCGTGGGTGTGGTTGGTTCCGCCAGCAGTGGGCTGGGCAACAGCTCGCTGGTAGGCAACGCCTCCGTGGTCCGTCAGCTGCCAACGAACCTCAGCCAGCACGCGGGACACGCAGGACATGCAGGACACTCGGCGCACAGCGTGCTCAACAGCTCGGCGGTGGCCGTGGCAGCCGCGCTATCATCCACAGGCGTGGCAGCAGCTCCCAGCCATGGCCACGGACACAGCCACAGCCATGGGCATGGGCATGGACACGGCCAGACGCACGGCCACAGCCATGGCCATGGCCATGGGCACGGACACGGCTCGCACGCGTCGAACAACACCACTGTGACGTACAATCTGCAGCAATTGGGCGGCGGAACGGCGGCTTCCAGTGCCATTGCTGCGGCCGCTAGCCAGGCGATTGTCGCCACACAGCAGATGCAGCAGGGGCGACGCACGGCGAGCTTGAAGGCCAGCTACGAGGCCATCCATGGGGCTGGCACCACCACCGATTTCTGGTCGAATGCCGGGCAGAGTTCCCTGCAAACTGGAGGCGCAACAGTGGGCACAGCATCGACGCTGGTCACGGCAGGTGGAGGAGGAGCAGCAGCAGGAGCAGCAGGTGCCGCCGCAACGCACCATCACCATCAGCAGCAGCAGCAGCAGCAGCAGCAGCAACTGCAACAACAGCAACAGCAGCATCATGGCAGCAGCAGCCACCACAGTCACCACAGCAGCCATGGGAGCGGCAGCAGCAGCCACCACCATCATCATCATCATCATCAGGACAAGAAGCAAAGCAAGAAGAAGCTAAGCGCCAGCATTGCGACAATGCCCGCGGCGATTGCCGTACAGTCGGCATTGGCGGGCTCCTCCTCGGGCAACTCCATTGCCTCGTCGTCCTCCTCCCTGAGCGTGGACTCTGTGGACATGCTGTCGAGTGCTGCGGCAGCTGCCGCTGCTGCCGCCGCTGCCGGCGCCAATATGAGCGGCATGGGCATGCCGCATGGCACACAGGCTTTGAGCACGGCCACTGGCGGCATGAGCGGTGCCAGTCATGTGGTGACCACCACCACAATGGCCAGCAATGTGGGCAATGTGGGAGCGGCAATTGGTCTGACGCCCACAACGCTGGTGCCGGGCTCGAATCTGAATATTGGCGAGATGGGCATCGTGCTGGAGCAGCCGAATGAGGGCGAATGGTCGTACGATCCGAATGAGCCGCGCTACTGCACCTGCAATCAGGTGTCCTATGGCGATATGGTGGCCTGCGACAATGATGCCTGCCCGTTCGAGTGGTTCCACTATCCGTGCGTGGGCATTACGCAGCCGCCGAAGGGCAAGTGGTTCTGCCCCAAGTGCACCGCCACCATGCGGCGGAGGGGCAATCGCAAGAACTGAGGCTGACTCCGGTTGCTGGCGCCCTTCCGTGGTAGAGGGTGGCTGCGACGCTAGAGAGTATCCAATTAACAATGTCTACCCAGAGAATAATAACCTACACAAATACATACAAATAGAATAAAACAAACCTCAAAGAAATACAAAGGCATTTTTGAATTCGATTCGAAAGCTATCGATAGGCATGCGCAGTGCCAGCCATGACCTAGGTTTTCTTTTGTGTTTGTTTTGATTGCAACCAGGGTGACCATTCACGGTATATGATATACTTTTCGGAATATTTCAACTACGAAAATGATTTTAGTGTATATTAATGTGTATTTCATGATTAAATTCAATTTTTGATGTATTTTCTAGAATATAGGGTATCAAAACTCCCATACGCCTGTTTTTTTTTAATTTTCCCTCTGGGAGATTAACTATCTTTTCCGCATGGAATTTTGTAGACAATCCAATAAAAGCAAGTCTTAAGAACTAGCCAATTTGTAGCAGAACTGTTTATTAATTCGGTTAAAATTATAGTTTTAGCGCTGAGAATCTTAAATAGCTAGATTTATTAACCAGAACATCAAAATGGATGTAAATGCCTGTCTATTTACGGTGTATTTTGAAAATGAAAAGGTATACTTCGCTATATTTTTGAGTGTCTTGCGGTATATTTGATCAGCATGTCCGCGGTCACACTGCTGCAAGTTGCAACCCCCACCCACTCATTTACGGCACAAACGAAAATTTTCACTGTCACTGGTCGCTTTTCCGAGCTTATCGTCCTGTCCCAACAACAGTGAAGTGCAGCAGCAGCAGCAGCAGGAGTGGGCGTCTCGTCGCATACAGCCAACGGGGCCTGAGAAACTTGTGCACAAAACGCAACAAAAAAGCAAACAAAATGAGCTACAATGAAAAAACCGAAAGCATCAGCAAGGAGGAATGGCTGCAGCGTCTCGAGCAGTTCCCCTTTAAGCAGGCGGACATGAATCGCCTGATTATGAACTACTTGGTCACTGGTAAGCGAGAAATTGCGCATCCAAAAAAGTCCCACATACATCCAGCCCGCCCACACACAAACACACACTCGTACACACACACTTGCACACGTCCCTCTGTTCGCTGTTGCATCGATTATTCCCGTTTTGTTCCCGTTTCGTTTCGTTTACCGTTTTCACAGAGGGCTTCAAGGAGGCTGCCGAGAAGTTCCAGCACGAAGCCGACCTCGAGCCGAGCGTGGAGCTAAACAGCCTCGACGACCGCATCCTCATACGCGAAGCAGTGCAGGCGGGTCGTGTGGAGGAGGCCACCCACCTGGTGAATCAACTGCATCCGGAGCTGCTGGGCGGCGATCGCTACTTGTTCTTTCACTTGCAGCAGCTGCAACTAATCGAACTGATACGCGCCGGCAAGGTGGAGGAGGCCCTGGCCTTTGCCCAAAGCAAGCTCTCCGAGTCCGGCGAAGAGGCCATGTTCGAGCTGGAGCGCACGCTGGCGCTGCTCGCGTTCGAGAAGCCCCAGGAGAGTCCATTTGCCGACTTGCTGGAGCAATCGTATCGCCAGAAGATTGCCAGCGAGCTCAATTCGGCAATTTTGCGATGCGAACACAGCGAGGACTCCACGCCCAAGATGATGTTCCTGCTGAGGGTTATACTCTGGGCACAGTCCAAGCTCGACAGTCGCTCCATAAGCTATCCGAAGATGAAGAACCTCGAGACGGCGCAACTTGAGCCAAAGTAGAGACCTTTCCCCCCGTACCCCTGCCCCTCTAAGGATCACTCACTTCTACTGTATCCTTTATCATTCTTTGTTTTTTTGTATAATGTGAAATGTATGTATGTGTGCAGTGTAGGATTTATGCAGTGTTTAAGAAGTAAATAAGTTAAACGAAAAAGCCATCTATGGGCCAACCAAAACGAAAAGAACTCTAGTGTAGCGTGGGGGAGGAGGAGGCAGGAGGAGGGAGCAGCAATCACCAACCAAAGAGCACGTCTATTGCCGTATTCAGCAGTCCGGTGCTCTTGGTGGGCAAATCCGTGCTTTGCGTCACTTTGACATCGTTTTGTGTGATGGATATGTCGGTGCAGCGTGTTACGCCCACCATGACATTGTGGCCAATGATCTTTTGATTGCAGTTCAGTGCCTTGTCGCTCTCGATGCGCGAGGAGTAGCACACGTGCATCCAGTTGCCATTCTCTGGGGCATGCGACACCAGCACTATGGTGCCGTAGAGCGTGAAGTGCTGCAGCACCATGGAGCTGCTGCCAGGCACAAAGCCGAATATGGTTACCCACGAGTCACCGAGCCGTGGGCGTGGCGTATTGAGGTATTGAAGGTATTGAGGGTCGCTGATGAGGTAGCTCTGGTTGAGTCTCAGATCCACATTCTGTGACTGATTTAGCATGCTGAGATGATTGTTGTACGGATGCTCAAGCAGGGACTCGAATAGCCCCTGGGTGGGTGGCCCTGTCTGGTGGTTGTGGCTGCTGACACCCGACAGCGACACATTGGGTAGGCTGTGGCCATGGCCGAATAACGTGTTGATGCCGGGGCGGTTAAAGTCGTGACCGAATGTGCCGGTGGGTGGTGAGGCTGCAAGAGCTACTGGTTAGGATGTGCTGCAATGCTGGGAATTATTATCGAACGCTTACCAAAACTAACGAGGTTGTGATTCTGATGGCTCTGGTGGAATCTGAGATTCAGATTCTGTGACTGATTCTGCTTGCTCAGATGAAGGCGCTGCTGTGTGTTGTACTGCTGCTCACGCAGGGACTCGAATAGCCCCTGGGTGGGTGGCGCTGTCTGGAGGTTGTGGCTGCTGACACCCGACAGCGACACATTGGGTAGGCTGTGGCCATGGCCACCGTACCCATGCGGAGCGCCGCCAAGGCCGAAGAACGTGTTGATACCGGGGCGGGTAAAGTCCTGACCGAATGTGCCGGTGGGTGGTGGGGCTGCAGGAGCAGCCTGGTTAGGATGTGCTGCAATGCTGGAAATTATTATCGAACGCTTACCAAAACTAACGAAGCGTCCCGGCTTCGGCGTCATTACCTGAGGATCGCCCATTAGGAACGGGGGCAGGCACTGGCCCTGGCTGCTGTTGGGGCCGTTCACAGGACTACCCAGAATGATGGGTTCCATTTTGCTGCTCGGCGAAATAGCACAGCAAAACAAACACAATAAAATTTACAATGTTGACAGCATTGCTTGTAGCCGATTTCGCTTCGAATGAATCCAGCTATCGATGTATATAGACTGTATAAGCTCTCATACATTTGACGCATAAATGAGTGTGAGAGGGATTTAAATTTTCCAACTGGATATTTTAAAAGGGTGTTTTAGATTTTAGAAAAAGCTTTTAGAATAATGAAAGGTTTAAAGCCCCGGGCTTTTTGAGCCTGTCAAACAGAATTTAAACAAGTGTAGTTACGGTGTAGTTACCAAGTAAAGTAAAAGTGCATTTTAGGTACCTTCTTTGCTAAAACTTTTTTTACACATAATCCAATGAAAAGCAGTAATTTTCATGAACGTAATTGTTGAGAACTGAGACATTAATCGGATTAAATTATTTTTTCAGTGGTGAAAGTCTTTGCAAGCTGGTAATATCAAATAGAACATCAAAATCGAGGAATCTGATGTAAGACTACGGTATATTTTACGGTTTATTTTGAAAATAAAAATATTTATTTCGGTATATTTTTGAGGGTCTTAAAGTATGTTTGACCGATAATTCCGCGGTCACACTGCATTTCCAAACACTCGGTCGGGCACGCGTGTCTTTGCGCCTTTTTGCCTTTCTCCTTTTTTTTTTATGCTCTTTGAATTGAATTTACATTTTTCGACAATTTCGTGGCGCGTGCAGGCAACAAAAAATACAAACAAACAAAGTACGACAAATCGTTGGCCCTGCTGTGTTTGTGTCAAACGCCAGTGTTATTGATGTGTGACAGAATATAGAAATACAAATCAACAAACTTGCAACTGGAACATAGGAATTTAGCGTCGCGAGAAGGTCCTGGGAAAGTGAACAAAATACTGCATACATAAATATACCACTACGCAGCGTAATAAAGGGTGCCATGTGGAGTCCCACACACTGCAATGTAACGGGTAAGTGGAACAGACACCCGTTGTCTTTGTCGTCATTTTGCCTCTAATTTTTTTAGTATGGCAAATAAATCGCATTAAAAATTAAACTCGTTTCTATTAGTGTGTGTTTGTATTGGTCCGCTGCTTGCATTTGTTCATGCATGCCTGTGTGTGTGTGAGAGTGCTTAAATATTGTCATGACAGAGAGACAACAGTTAAGTCGTTTCTGTTGTGCTCTTGCGGTGTACCTATTCCGACATCTTATTTGAAATTTCACTTTTTCGAAGCCCTCTCCCTCCCCTGCTCTCTATCCACAGTTTTCCCCTCCAGAGGAGGCCACCTTTCGTGATTGTTTCTATCAGTGGAGTGGAGCAAGCGCTGTCTGATAAGATTGTGTACGTCTCTCCTACCGGCCGTCCGTCTGTCTGTCCTTCCGCTGCTTACTCATAGCCACAGAGAGTTGCTGTCCACTGTCTTCTCTTCAATTCGCGACGAATCTCGCAGTGATTGATCATTTAAAATGGTTAATGGTCGATGGTGATTTCTCTACTCCCCCATTCCCTCTGATTCGCATTCTTGCGCATACCAATACCACCTCTGCTGATTTCAATGCAGCCCTGCGCTGGTGTTTATGTTTTCATTGTTTTGTTTGCTTCAGGGCTGAATTCCAATGAGAAATTCGTGCAAAAATATTCAAGCGCTCGTTACTCGTGACCAACACAGAAAGAGCTGCCACTGCTCTCTCCCTCTCTCTGTGTGTCGCCGCTTGTTCCTAATTATGAAAACAAATATCGAGTAATTAACTACAACTAAAATTCACATGGATATGTGTTTGTGTAATGTATAGCTTAATGGCCCAAGCAAATGACTCATAAATTGTTGCGAAAGCTTCAGGAACGTAAACTATGCTGATAGTCAGAAACAGGTAGAGGAGAATGCGAGAGATGAGGCTTTGTTTCGATAAATAAACACGCACGCACACAGGTTGCTGGTAGAGTGTGTGTGTGTGGGTGTGAGAGCTGAATCGGTGCTGAATCAAAGTTTGACAAATAAATAGTTAAGCTGAGAGGAGAGAGCGCCGAAACTGCAGCTATTTACATAGTATATGTATATTTAAAGGGGGAGAGAGAGATGGGAAATGGAGTCTGGTCTATGCTGTGCTGTGCTGCTCCCACGCCTGCCTTTCCACCTTGAACTTGCCCACCAGCTATCAGCTCTGTGTTCTTTGTCGTCTCTTTATATCTTGTTCTGTCTTCTGTTGTCTCGTTTTGCCGTTTGCACAGTTCTCGCAATGCTTAATTCCAGCAGCAGCAGCCACAAAGAGCATTGACGTCACACGTCGAATTGCAAACAAATCAATCTCTCTCTCCCTCCTGTTGCTGTTGTTGTCGTGCGTTGGTTTCCTTCTTGTTTGCACTCTCTCTCTTAGCACACATACACACTCACACAGGCACAGACAGAGTGGGGTTTATCTGTTCTCGTGTCAATATTTGCACTCGAGATGAGCGCACGCCTGAAGCTCGGGGTAACAGCTGTCCGGAGCTTTTGATGTTGTTCGAAACAGAAATCCCGTTCCGACCTATTAGATCATTCGACCCCCCTCCGCCTCGCCCACCTGGATCTATGAGTGTCCGCGTGAATTTTGGAGCGGGTAGGAAGTTTGCGGCATTCTTATCCAACCCAGCTCTGCGCCCATGGGCGTCGGGCCTCCACCTCTAAGTTGTCTAATTGCGTGCGTTATTTTTAGCCGTAAATTCTCGGCGGCCACTCACTTGGCCACAAGCACGCACACACCTCAAATTTCCTGAGGATATTGTGCAATGCGGCGGGCAGCCAAGCAAACCCAAACAAACACATTTCCGTTTTTAGTTTCGATTTTGTTTGGTTTTGTTTTGCAACCGTTTTGGTTGCATGGAGCGCTCCCTACATCTCTCGATATCGATAACGATTCGTGCAGGAATGCGCTCTGATGTAGTTCTTTATGTTTGTGTATGGCAGGAGGTAGTGTTGGTGGGGTGGATCGATAAGCAAACCGTTCTGATAATACATACCCTCTGGAAGAGAGGAGAGGAGAGGCAGCGACGTGCATTTTGGTCACGTAAGAGTGTGGTGATGGCGTCCTGAGATTGCTCTGATTTACACACCTATCGCTTCCGCTACCTCTCCCTCCGTTCCACTTCTTTCCGTTTTTTAACTCCCCAACTCACCCTCTGCCGTGGACCGTTTTAATGTTGCTCTCCTCGATGCACTTGTGCGAAACAGTTACGTTTCATTGCCCGACCCATTTAGCCGTGCCATTCGCCAGGGAGGAAGAGAGAAAGAGAAATAGAGAGACACAGAGAACAGATGGAGGGGAAAAACAGGTATGGGACTCGCATCTCTGACTGCAACTGCGACTGCCACTCTCTGACTCTGCGATTGCGGGTCTCCAATTGATTATTTTCCAGTTTGCGTTGACTTGTGGCTTGTTGAGTTGCTGGCCACATTCCTTGGGGCCAATTTCTGCCTCCAGCTGCCTGCCTGCCGGCAACGGCATCAGCAATAGCACCGGCACAGGCACCGGCACCAGCGGTAGCCACATTTCCCAGTTCTCACCTCTGCCTGTTGTTCCCCTCATGCATATGCATGCTGGCACTTGCAATGGAATTAGGATTGGGATGGGAGCAGACGAGTCAAGATTCTTTTACCTCTTTGCATTTATATTCAAAGCATGCAATGATCCCCAATCCACCAATCCCCCATCCTCCAACGTTTTCATGTTAATTGCCTTTCATTTGGTGTGTGGCAAGAGAGGGTGGGGGGGGGAAGAGTCTGTTTATAATTTCCAAATAAAACCGCACTGAAAAACCACTGTGAATGCAAGAAATTATTTATGCATCAAAATAATAATAATAGTAAAGTAAATGGCAAAACATTTGAGCAGAGTCCATAGCTTAGATACCCTGGAGAAATAGAAATAAACATAAATTAATTATGTATTAAAATGGCATCGTAAATGTCTTTCCGATCATACCTTTTTCCAGGGTGTTTTGGGTGGGCAATTGAACGGTAAATACCAAGAGTTGATTTTATTCCAATATTCGCACGATTTCAAACTGTTTGTTGGCCTGTTGTTGCTGTTGCTGTTGCAACATTGAATGGCATGCGATTCATTATAATTATTGGTGGTAATGCTGCTGCTGCTGCTGCTGCTCTGTTTTTGTGTGTGTGTGGATTAGGCCACAGTTCAACGATCCCTGCCCTGGCCAATGGTCTTAGTTGATCCTAGGGTGCAGCAGGGCAGGTCAGAGCAGAGCACGAATGGAAAATTGATTTCTCTCAGTCTGACCGAAAAGAGAGAGAGAAAGAGAGGGTCTTCCAAGTGCGGTATTGCCTCATTAGCATGCGTGCGGATGCCTCCGAGGAGCATTGGCCTGCGGCAGCAGCACAGCACACCAAACTCTTTTGCCGTCGTCTGTTTTGTGTCTTTCTTTGCCATGCTGCCACGCCCCCACACACACACGCATAAACAGAGAGTGGCAGCGGCCCGAAAGTGGAACATAAAAAGAGTCTCTCGGCAAGTGCGTGCTGGGAATTCTACATTTATGTATGCATAATGTAACAACGAAAGAGGAGGGGAATTGGATTGTTGCACCACTCTCCGCCGGGGGCTCCCCCTATATAGCCATAAATACTGATCTGATTGGTGCCCTATATATGCGGTTAACCATGTACATGTCCATGAACCCATTTCATTTTCTAATGCAGAGAGAGAGAGAGAGAGAAAAGCTATGGGAATAATCGCCATGACTCAAACATGGTATGAGATTTGTCTTGGCAGATGAAGCAAACCAAAACTTATTTTTCCCTTGCTGCCACCGGAGTATTTTCTCTTTGCGGGAAAATGGAAAATTAGTGAAAAAAGTGTGGTCACCTGAGGTTGGGGGAATTGCGGCAGCTACCAGGTGCATCAAGCAGTAGCAGGGGGAAAGACAATCAAGTTGAGAGCAAAAGGCAGAGACTGAGAATGATTTCATTGAAATTAATTAACCCAACAGTTGACCTCTCCTCACAAATACACACACACACACACACACACACACACACACACACACACATCCGCGCACACAGATAAGCAAAAGCCACAAAGGTTAACAAAACGCTACGACAATGGGCCCACGGGGTCGCATAAAGCAACAAAATAAAGGTGCAGCCGACATCCATCTACCCAGCTATTGTTTCTATCCATCTGTGTGTGTCTCTCTCTCTCTCTATCTGTTGTAATCGACAGGAAAACAGAACAAACCTTAGCTTATATCTATCTATCTATGTATAGTTCTTATCCACATACAATTTATATTATAAATCCATGATCGAGATATGAACTGTATTTCTGTATGTCTGTCTCTGCTCGTTCCCGCGGGAGCAAACGGAACACTTAGAGCACTGGAGCTGACCGCTGGGAATTTCTCTTTTTTTTCTGAGTCGCCGTTATGTTTTTTTCGGAGTTTATTGGTGTGAAATGTGGGCCACAAGAAACGAACGCGAAATGAGTCAACTACCTCTCCCGGTAGATATCGTTGTGGTAGTGCGGAGTTCCATTTCAATGACTAATCAATGATTCCTGATCCTCAAAGCTGAAGACGAGAGATAACACTACAGGGGCCTGTTTCCATGTTTTGGTTAGATAATTGCAATTGGATCAAACTTTATTTATAAGTATCGTAAAATATATGATTTGCGCGTGAGTAATGGGGGAGCAGACAAACGATTGGAATACGAGAGTACATTTCCGTTAGATAGGAGGAGGATCGGATCGCGTCTCCTCCAACATGGAAAGCAATTCGATGCGACCTTCTCGCATGCAGCGCGAAACGCTTACGCTTACCTCCCCCACCTTCAGTGTGCGTGTGTGGGTGCGCCTACGTTCATTGATGACGCCAGCCAGCCCAGTCATCCCTATATTTTCTCTCGGACCAAACAAACTGTCAATTAATTACGCTAACTCGCGCAAAATTGAATTGAGGAATTGAGTGCAAAAAGTGGTTGGGGGGGCTTCTGTTTTGGCAGCACTTTTATCTCGCTCCCGTCTCCAACATGGCGTCTCTCTTCACAAAGATAGCGGCGGCGGCGGCCCCACATCTGCTCTGCCCAGGCCGAGGTCCCGTGGTGCGACGAAAAGCGAAAACTAAATGCTAAATTCGACGCCAATGCCCACGTTGCACAGTGGGTTGCATTTATCAGTTGATTCGATCAGCGTTCAGCGCTCACACATTTGATATGAGTGACCGGCTGAATGGCACACTTGACCCACTGTGCGCGCGGCTGAGAGGTGGCCATAAAAGCGGACCAACTTAACGGTGGATCGCCCGCCTCAGCTCTCCTCGTTCCATCTTCTGCCGTTTCTTTTTTTGGCGCTGTTTGCCATGTTTATTTCTTTACCTTTTGCCATTTAGCATTTCTATTTTCGGGGGGTTGGGTAGTACCACGCGACGCGATGCCTTTCCATATGCACATCCACACATGCATGTAAAAATGTATGTACGTATGTATGTATGTGTGTATGCATGCTCATATGAGAGTCCATCGATCTCTGGATTTGCATGTTTCTCCGCCGATGAGCAGCGGCTGCTCTCGAAATTGCAGAAAATTGCAGCCGCCGACGCCGATGCCGCGGGGAGGGTTATTGACAGCCATTGGAAGCCCATCCATCCATCTTCTCGTCTATTACAGTTCACTTCGTTTACCGTTGCTTGGATGGTTCGCTAGCACCAGGCACAAGGGGAGACAGAGAGAGACCGCACAAAAGAGAGTTTAAAGATGAGCATGTGGCCGAACGTTAGCCGCTGTGTATGAGTTACAGGTGGGAGGGGGGAGTAGTGGAGCAGCTGTAATGGGATTGTGGATTATCGATAGCATCCAGACTTCTTGTCTGTTCCGGATCGTCTTTAACCTCAATTACGGTGACAAAGAAGACGAAGAAGCGGAGGCGACAAAAAACTTCCCAAATTGGCTTAAGTTGTGTTCCCCGCGTCATGAATGTGCAGGGCAAAGAGAAATAAACGCTAACGGGAGGTAGATGGGAGGAAAAAAAAAACTGTTAATGCGATAATAATTATGAGGCAGTGTCCAACCAGCGGGCACATCTGCTTGAAACCCCCCTCCAAGAGTCGGCCCGGTAGCTCCTCCAAAAAAAAAAATCTAAACGGAAATTGGAAAAACATTAAGAAAATCTACAGTGATGTTTCTCTGCTAGATTATGTACATAACTATGTGCATATTTACGTGAGTTTTTGTGTGTGTTTTTTTTTTGCAGCGACATGCTCGTGTGCAGACGCAGCCGCCGCCGTAAAACGCTTTTCACTTTGCCGCTTTTGCCCCGTAATTGTTTTGTGTTTTTGTTGTTATGAAACTTTGGCGCAATTTCTCCGGCTAGCAGCCGCGGGGTGGGGGGAGCATTGCGCAAAAGCATAATTATGCTGCGTAATTGAGTAATCGAACAATCGAATAATAATCGTGGGACTACTCCACCGCCGACGCCTTCCGCATCTGGAGGAGTTCATTTCATTTCCCGGACCTAAAAATAGCCAGCGCCTGCCCCCACCTCGCTTTTTTTCGGTCTGGCCTGGCCAGAATGTCTGTTCTGGCAATGACTTAATTTCTGTTTTGTCGCCTTCTGCCCTCTGGCGTCTTCGTTTTCAATTTAATTTCCATTTCCGGCAGCTGTGCAGCGAGCAGAGCAGAGAAGCGGCCGCAGCAGAGGTTTAGCTGTGAGCCGGGCGAGGTCTCTGCCGAAATGTTTGGCAAATCTAAGCCGCCAGCATTTGTCGCAGCTCTCGCTCGAGTGATTCACTTGCCCGAAATTGGTGCTGGAAATTGAAACGAGACCCCACCAAAGCAAACTTAAAGTTTCACTCGAGCGCCTCGTGACCTCGAGATGGCAGCGGCATCCGGCGAGGCTGAAGCTGAAGCTGAAGCTGGAGATATGAAAGCCACGCAAACCGCAAAGGCAACATTTTTGGGGCCGCGACTCCCGCCAGTCCCGCTCCCAGCCATTGTTTTGCGCCCGCGACTCCTCCCCCAGTTACATTTATGCATGGAACTCATCCGTCTCTAGCTCTTGCTCATCCATAATCCAGATCTAATCAAACATTTCGCTCGTTACAGTGCACCGGGCGAGGGGTCTGCTCACCAAGGGCAAGAACGGCACCAACAATTGCTTTGTCACCATTGCCCTCGGCAAGGAGAAGTATCAGACGTCGGTGAAGGACAAGTCCGAGACGAAGGTCGATTGGAATGAGGAGTGCGAGCTGTAAGTGAATGAATCACAGACTCCAGCCAGACACTCCACGTTTATTGTTCTTCAACTCTTTTGTTGCTTCTTCTTTTAGGAAAATTCCCGATCAGGGCAATCGGGCAGAGCTGACACTGACGTGCTTGCATCGCAATAATCTGGGCATCGATGAGTTCCTGGGGCAGGCAACGTTGCCGCTCAACGAGATGGACGTGTACGATCGGCCGCGCACCAAGTGGTTCAAGCTGGAGAGCAAGCCGGGCAAGGAGAAGAAGAACAAGGAGCGCGGCGAGCTGGAGGTGCGCATCGGGTTTGTTGTCAAGTCCGGCTCCCTGACGGACCTCAGCAAGAAGGACAAGCACAAGTCTTCCATCGGTCAGCTGGCCAGCTCTGTGGGCGGCAGTCTGCTGTCCATCGGCAACGGCGAGAAGCGAAAGAGCATCAAGAAGTTGGCCGGCTCGCTGAGCTCCAAGCTGCATTTGCGCAGCAAGAAGAAGCACGCGGATGCCGGCGGCGATGACAACAGCTCCTTCAGCGGTTCCTTTGCCAGCATTGGCACCCCGAACAGCTCCACCGGCGGCCCCGGTGGCAGCGGCCGACGCCGCGGGCAGCGTGCCGGCGAGGCCGATCCCGGCGTCATCAGCGAGGACGAGGATGAGTTTGTGTTTGACAACTTGTCGCACAAGAGCTCCGGCAGTTCGCTGAACATTCAGCGTTCCGGACTGCAGCCGCCACCAGCCACCATGGGCGGAGGAGGTGGAGGAGGAGGAGCGCCCAACTTTGCGCCCCGCAATCCCTCGCCGCTGCTGAGCAATGGCAATGGTTTGGGGAGTGGAAACGGGAATGGGAACGGGAACGGCGTGGGAAAGATCCATCACGGAGGTAAGCCCAAAATGCCAGAGACTCTCGATGAGGATACGCCCATCAGTGCGGAGATGGAACAGCTTGAGATCGATTTCAGTGTACGCGCTCGCACCCTGCCGCCTCCCTCGAAGCCGCCGCGCATACCACAGCTGCAGCTGGAGCAGGAGGAGGAGGAGGAGCAGAAGCAGAGGGAACTGCAAATGGAAATGGAGAGGGAACAGGAACGGCAGAGAGAGAAGCCAAAGGATAAGGAGACGATGGACAGCGACAAGGATGAGTGGGCGTCAAAGCTGTACGGTGGCTTGGAGATTGGCACCAGTGACTCGCTGAAGCGTCGCAGCTGGGAGTCGCGTGTACCGCTGCCAGCCAGCGTGCAGGAGACACCGCCACCGCTGCCCCCACCGTCAGAGCCTTCCTCCAGCTCGTCCTCGGACAGCGATGAAGAGGAGATGCCGCTGCCGGTGCCGGTGCCGCAGCCCAAGCCAAAGGCAACCAAGGCAGCTGCTCCCCCAATACCGGTGCGGGCACCAGCTCCAGACCCTGTCCCCGTCCCTGTACCATCTGTGAGCAACGCTTCCTCGCTCTTCTCGCCCGACGTGGAGCAGCGCAACTTTGATGCGTTCAACGCGAGCTTCGCCAAGTTCGAGCAGCGCAACAGCACGGCCATCTTTGCCGATGAGCCAGAGCTCGAGGATCTGGATGTGGAGGTTGTGATGCCAACGCCTACAGCAAGGCCAAAGCCGCAGCCTCGCTCGCTGCTGGATATCAGGGCGGAGGCGGAGAAGGCAGAGCGAGTGGAGGAGGAAGCGCGTCAGCAGCGCGCCGAGGAAGATGCGCGCCTGGAGGCCGAGCTGCGGCTGAACGAGCAGCGGCTGCGCGTCGAGGAGGCTGCCCTCAGGCAGGAGCTGGCGGAAGAGCAGCGCCAAAAGGAGCTGCTGGAGGAGCAGCGGCGGCGCGAGGCCAAGCGCTGGGAGGAGGACCAGCGGCTGCTTACCTTTGCCACACGATCCACGTCACTGGAGGAGGAGCAGCCGCTGCCGCTGCCACCGCCACCGCCATCGCCACCTCAGCAGCTACAGCGGCAGCTGCAGTTGAAGGCGGAGTTAGAGGAGGCGGAGCCAGAAACCGAACCCAAACCCGAACCAGAGGCAGAACTAGAACTCGAGCCAGAGCCAAAGCACAATTTCCTAACGCCCGAACAGTCGCCCAAGGAGTTCCAAACGAACGGCAGCGGCGGCATCAATGGCAGCGGCAACGGCAGCGGCCGTGAGATGCGTCTGGGAAAGTTCAAATACGGCAATAAGCGAGGTGAGCTGTTGTACCCCCCCGAAAACGAAGCGAAAACAGATACGCAAAACAGATCCAAATCCAAGAGCAAGACAATCCGTTCCTCTGTTCCTCTCTCTCATGCACAAACGGCGGACAGGCAGGCGGGCAGGCAGGGAGTGCGGTGCGGTGCGGTGCATTCGCTGGCGGATTACACGACAAACCGAAACCGAAACCGAATCAAGCTATTTCCAGTCAACGCCGCAGTCAACTGTCGCGCGCGGGAGCATCTGAGCATCCTTTCATACCTTTGTATCCCTCCCAAATCCTTTCATCCTACTACTCCTTCTTCTCCTTGTCCTTCTCCCATTTGTCGTGCTATCATCTTTGTTTTCTGTTGTGTTTTTGTTGCATCCGCCAGTGATTTTGCGAGCACCAACCCCCCCACCACCTCATGCCACCTCGTGCCCTGTGCCACTTGAACAGTTTTTAACACTCTTTTTCTCTCTCTCCCTGCGACACAGATAAATACAGCAACGATAATGGCAGCAACTCGCCCAGTCCCAAGTCCACGGAGCGCATTATCATAGGCCATGAAAAGTCTGGAGGCTCGCATGCGGAACGTCGCTCAGAGATCTCCGCACAGCTGGCCAAGAAGTACGAGGGCAAGTCACGGGAGGTAAGCTATCGATCGATCTCCGTCTCTCTCTCTCTCTGTTTGTACAATCTGTAATTCTGTTATTTGCGCAGGAGCTAATGCTAATTGCCAATGGCATGGAGAACGAGGCACTGCTGCAGCGGCAGCGTGTCAAGGAGCTGGAGGATTATCTGGATAATCTGCTGCTGCGCGTAATGGAAACACATCCGAAGATCCTACAGAATCCCTACTCGCGCACCACTTCCGCCAAAAGGTTTGTCACAGGCCGCGCGCATGCGCACACCCATGTCCAGTGCCGTTTTCGTGCACAGAACTAGTTCGTCTTGAAGGGCATTCGCCTGCCTTCCTTCCGCAAAGGAATTTTCTTTGTACTCTGAATGTGTACGATCTGCACTTGCTCTTGTTGTCTTGTGTCTCTAATCAATCCAAACATCAATACAATCCACACACAGAGTCCACACACTCCACACCCCACCACATGTGAATGTTTCTCCTTCTGTTTGTGTTCTTTTTCTCTGCCTAATTTTTGTTAACCGAATGCATTCTTGTGATTATTTCTCTCCTCTTTATTTAGTTATAAAAACTACATCAATATGAATGACTTTCTAAAGTAAATGTGGCTGAACGCGCGCGCGCTGTGCATGTTGCAAAGTTTTTGCATTTAATTAGCACTTAACCAACACTACGACCCACAACAAACAGCAACCAACAACAACACAAGCAACCAACCAACCACCAAATGACCCCAACACAATGCGCGCGCGACACTCAACGAAGAAAGCAGAAAACAGAAGACAGAAACCAGAAGAAGTCCGGCAGTACACACACACACACAGAGAGAGAAGGAAGCAAAGTCCAGGCCCTCACCTGAAGTCCCGTTTTGGATGAAGTAAGCAGCGTCGTACTCCCACCTGTCGCCTCAAGTGTCGCCTCATTCTACATTCCACATTCGAACCCCGCGCCATCTGTCCAGCCTCTGTTCTAATATCTCTCTCGCTCTATCTGTTTGTTTGTTTGGCACTCTCTCTCTCTCTCTATCTATATCTTTCGCTTAACTGTTGTTGGTGGTCTTTTGATGGTTCCCTCTTGCTCCTACTCCTACGTTTGTATTTGTAGCTTCCATTGATAACTGTAATTGATCAAAGCTTGATGTGATATTAATACACGAATTTGGTTCTGTCTTGCAGCGGTTAAGCAGCCCCAGCCGCAACCTGTCGTCGCGTTGCAGTTCCCGCGAAGGAGTTGTTGCAGTTGCAGCTGCAATCTACTACATCTTACAGCATGTAAAATGTAAAAACAATCGAACACCAAGTTGCCTTTTGTCGCCAAAAACAAAAACAAAAAAAAACTGCGAAATTCAAGTGCTTTCTAACACTAATTTAAGTAACTGAGAGGAAAAGAAAAAGGGAAACTAATTTGTACACGTGTAATCCACATAGATTTTAAGCAGGAGAACAAAAGAGGTGCGTGGCAAGGAGCTCCAAACACTAACTCTAAACTAAATTATTTGTACCATACATGTAAACGATGTGTAACGATCGCCAGCGACAACACAAATTGGTCTATTGTCTAACGTCTGTCGTCTATCGATTGATTGAAATTATCCTAAAAGTATTTGTTTTGTTTTTTTTTGTCTGTTTGTTCTTTAGTTTTTTTTTTGCATGTCAAATTGTGTAACCCCTTCCCCCTTAGTGAAATAAGGTCCTAAATTATTTATGTTTTAGCGTTTAAGTGAGAGGAGGAAGAGGAGTTAAGTGGCTGCAGTTTAATATGTTGATACATACAATGATTTTACCTATTGATATATATATATATACACCCAACCAGAATAAAAACATTTTAATATTAATACAAGCAACTATTGTCGTTATAATTTAATTCAAAGTTCATATCATTGGCGCCAACGTTTGTCAGGGATGCATTCTATTGGTGGAACCAACGATAGTATTTGCTGATAGTTCTGTAGCAACAGACCAATCGATTAGTGCCGTTACACAGCACTGTTTTTGCAAAAGCCGATAGATCGATATAAAGAACCATCGATCGCGCTGGCAGCTCAGCTCTATCTCTGCAGGTATATCAACGCGCCGCATTTCGAATGTTTCGCGTGAATGGGTGGGTGCACTCAATATCTTGTTCATTCAGTCATTCTTCTCGATTGCACCGGCACAGACGAACCGAACGACCGACCGAACACCGTGCGGATCGCTCACTATATGTCAGCTCACAGTACTATTTTTTTTTCGAAATCGTTCTAACGCGTCGGCCCTTGGAAGGGAACCCAAACCCAGAAACGAAACCAACAGAAAGTGAAATTGTGCGTTAAATTTTTTTTACTGTTTTCCCACAAGTGCGAAGCGAAAAGTGTAGCGGAAATTGTGCAACTTATTGGATTGATCGCCGGACGATTGACTGGATTTGAGTGCCATTGATCGATCGATCGATCGGCCAACCATTGACCAGCAACCAGAACCCAGCAATGCCTGCAGATCGGAGGAGCCTGCAAATATGAGGCACGCTGCAGGTTGAAGGCGCAAGGGAGAGAGAGAAAACAAACAAATAAGCAAACAAACAAACGAGCGAAAAAAAAGCGACAAAAAAAGTGAGTGATTTATTCGACAGCAGACCCAATGCCCAATGCCCAATGCCCCTCCAACAACACAAACACACACACACCCATACACACACGGGACATGCATAAGCAGTCAGCGATCGCTCGAGCAGAGATCTTTATGTTTGTGTGTCTCCTCTATTCACGAGTTCATATGTATGTGCGTGTGAGTGTGCGTTCCACGAACAGAACAGAACGGAACATTATGTTTTTGTGTGTTATGGTTTATGGTTTATGATTTTGTGCCCGGTTCGGATTCGGATTCGTTTTGGTTTCGTTTCGTTTCGTTTCGGAAGCTGCCGCCGTTGATCACGCTGACTGCCTCTGCTCTGCTCTCCCGCTGCCGCTGCTGATGATCTCCGCCCCAGTGGGAGTGGGAGTGGGAGGGGAACGGCCGAAGCGCAGAAGCAGACACGGACGCGGACACACCGAAATGGAATGGAATTGAATTAAATCAAATGATAAAAAATATAAATCGAGTGTAGAAACAGTGGCAGCCTCTGTGTGCCGCCGTGCAGCAGCATCAGCAGAAACAAAAAGACACGAAACGAAATGAAAATAAGAGAAAAAAAATAAAAGCGAGCAAAGAGAGACGAAATCGGAATCTGAATTCAGAATTCAGAATCCAGAATCCAGAATCAGACCCTGCCGCCATATACAACATGCATACATATACCCCTATATAGATTCAGACAGACAGACAGACAGACAGACGACTGACAAGCTGACGAACTGATGAACTGACGAACTGATGATGCCAAGCAGCTCGATGGGCAGATTCTGGCTGCTGTAGCACTGGGATTGGGGGGCTGCTGCCAAAACAGACGACGCACCAAACTAATGGATAAATGTGTGAATGTGAATGTGTGTGTGTGTGTTTATGTACAGACACAGCAGCAGCAGCAGCAGCAGATTCCCCCTCAAAGCACAGAAGTCAGCGGAAGGAAATGTCAGGAAAAGGGCTAAATGTGTGTGAGAGAGTGAGAGAGAGACAGACGAGAGTCTGCACTTGTGCCCGCGGCTGCTGCTGCTTCTCCTTGAGGCTGTAAATAAATAGAACAAAAAAAAACACATTGAACTCTGCTCTAAACATTGCTTGCATAACGCAGCGATCCTCCTTGCCTCTTCCCTCCTTCTGCCTCTGCCCACGCTTCTCTTTTTTGTAAATGTCAAGAATAAGTTCCAGCAGCTGTACCCGTGACACCGAATCGATTTCCAGTTTATCCCACAGCCCACAGTCGAACACACTTTTTGGCATTTAATTGTTTTCTCTTGCTGCGATTTGCACTTCGAGTGATCAGATCTCTGATCTCTGAGCCGTTGTCGTGTCTCTGCCTCTGGATCAGGTTGCGTTTTTAAATATTTTTCTACTTATTTGCTTCACTTAGTGCCCGCTCTGCCCCTGCCCATGTGTCGCCGCCCATGAAAAGTGCTTAATGGTTTTGTCGCGTTTTGTTTTTGTTTTTTGGAATTTACACAACAAACAGAGAGAGAGAGAGAGAGAGACAGACAGCGCAGCATCATAAAATTCGTGAGCATTCATTCTGACAGCTTAATAAATGTCTCTCTGCGCTTCTCTTTCTCGCTGCTTCTGTCCCTCCCCCCTTTCGCTCCTAATCTCCGGCTGCGTTTTGTGCGCTGGCTGGTTGGTCTATGCCTCTGCCTCTGCCTGGGATTCTCTCTGCCTCTGCCATGGCCGTAACGAGTGGGCGGCCTGGAAAGCCTCAAATGGAAAGTAGAAATTCTTGACAAGAATCTAAAACAATTCCAACTTGTAGAGAAATTCTTGTAGGGAAACTGTGAAACTTTGCTGGAAAATCAGCTAAAACAATTCTTCCCGTTCCTCGTTATATTTCTGTGATTTTTTGCCGCTTTGTAGAATTTGTTTTGCTGCCTGATCTTTGTGTACACTTTCTGCTTTGCTCGCCGCATGAGAAATTCATTTTAAATTGCAAGTTAAAAATACACGCGATTTCCCCGCGTCAACCTCAGGCCCGCAGGCCTCACCCTTGTTGGATTTGACTATTCCGAGTGCTGGCTGCCTTTTGGACACTCTTGGTAATCGCACTGCCACATTTCTGGGCAGTGGCTTCTGCTCGGGTATCCCCGTTTAAGTGACCCATTTTGGTGCTTCCACTTTCTCGATCTCCGCTGCAAGTCTCAGCCTCAATTAGTAAAAAGAAAAAAGAAAAAGAAAAAGAGGAACGCAACATGATTTAAATTGCTGTCACTGTCAGTTGTTGTGTTTGTCAGACAGCGGCGACAAAAGCAGCCGCGAGGCACGCGGCACGAGCTGCAGAAACAACACAAAAAAGAGACAGCCAGCAGTCGCACCAAAATGTATCTTATAGATACACACCCAGTCAGCACTGACAACATAATAATAGTCCAACAAAGTTGCTGCTGCTGTTGCCTCAATGTCTGTCAGAGCTTGTCCCCCCGCCAGTTCCATTTCGAACCAGAACTCCTCTTTTGGCCCAGCAGTCTGCCACATGGTCTGCTCTGCTCTGCGTTATTTGAACTGATCTTCCTTCTGCGATCTTCTGGCTGCAATCCATGATCAAAATTGTTACTGGAAACAATTGGAACTGCTTGTGGCGGGGGGAGCAGGAAGCAGCTGGAACTTTGTCTCCAAAATAAAATCTAATCAAATCGAAATCAAATGTGATTTTAATGAAAGGAAAACGACAAAGGAAATGCCTTTTGTGGTTTTCTTGTTTCCGATACGAAACGGCCCCCCCCTCCGCAACCTAAACGGCACTTGTTGCCACAGATCGTCTGTGGATTACCGATACGTTGCTTTCATGCTAATGAGCCGCACTGTTTGTTTGTCAATTGATCCGCCAATTTCACTCGATCGATCGATCGATCGATTGATCCCATCATGTGTACAAATATCTCCTACTCCGATCCACTTCCACTTCGCCTTTGGCAGCTCTGCTGTCAACCCTTTTGCCCGCCATGAACCCAGGCAACCCGCAGCACTTGTGCAGGCACTTGCCACGGCCACTGCCCATGCCCCACCCGCTGGTTATGGCGACCATACGTGGTGGCCATACGCGACATACGGTAATGGTTGATTTTAATTAAATATTTCTTCTTCCTGTTGCCGTTGCTATTCTGCTGCTGCTGCTGCTGCTGCTATTCCCTACTCGTTTGCCCGTTTGTCCGTTCCGTTTTCTACGTTTGCGCGCGGGCCTGTCATTGCTCTGCGCTGCTGCTCTTCTGCCCGCTTCTCCGATTCTTCGCTTCCTCCTTCTCCCCCGCTTAACAGTGCGCGCAGTGCGCAGACCGAGAGCGAACAAGTGCCTCTGCCCTACCCCCGCCCGAAAGAGTTCGTGAATGAGTTATGAATGGATGTGATTGCTGCCAGCGGAATCAGTGGAAGAGGGAAAGGCAAAGGGTAAGGGCATGGGCATGGGCATGGGCATGGGAGAAGGGGAAATCTTCTAATAAACTCCCAGGAGCCCTCGCTCCCTTAATGGCATATTTTGGATAATACTCAAAACGAGACGAGACCGTCTGATCGTCGCTGTCTAGGAACCCCCCGTCGAGCGGAAGTCAGGAGTGGACGGACCTGTCTCTATACCTCCTATTTTTTAAATTTTATTTTTATGCTTGTTCCTTCTCCTCTTTCCCTTCCTTCCTGCTTTGGCTTGTCCGTTCCATTCTGTCCCGCCGCATCCCGTCGCGTCACGTCACACTCGCTGCATAAATAATAATCGTAGTGCCTGCCGGCTCCTCCGATGCCTATAAAATAGTTTGAATCGTTGAATTGTCAAGGAATGAATCGAATCCGAGGAGGAGGAGGAGAATCTTGGGTTCGCAGATTAAGAACAGAGAAAAGAACATAAACATAAACATAAACACAGAAGAGATGACTGCAAATGAAATACAACAACACAAAAACAATGCACGACTCTCTTGAGCAATGAACTTCCAATGGGCGGGACGCGACTGTCGCGGGCAGAGCGGCAGAGTGACAAAGAGCAGAGAGGCAGAGGAAGAGCGGCAGACTAGGGAGGCTAAGCCGTGGAGGAAGAGAGAGCATAACGGCTAAGCGGCGGAGGCAGAAGCTTTGAGAGCAGATAGGCAGAACGGCAGAGCGGCAGCGGCAGCGGCACCCTCCCCATTAAAGTTGATTGCAAACTGTACGCGCATTTATGATCGCAATCATCATGATGATGATGATGATGATGATGATCAGCAGTCGCTGCTGCTGCTACTTACTGTTGTTGTTGCTGCTGCTGCTGCTGCTGCTGTTTGGATGGGAGAGATGGCGTCGTCGCCGTCGTCGTCGTCGCATTATCAGCAGCATTATCATTAACATGACGACGACCGTTGGCCGTTTATTAGTTTGCCGTTGCGCGAATTATTTTTATAGGCGCTGATGATGAACGTAAAACAGACACAGAGAACAGACTGAATCCCCCCACCAACACTCCATTTCTGCAATCTCCAGCTGTGCCGGCAACCAGGCCTGGGAAAATGCACAATTTTCACATGAAAATGCAGCAAATAAATGTGTCCTTTGCTTCGTTTCTCTCTCCTTGCAGAATGATGCCGCCAAGACTGCCAAATAGCTCGGAGGGAGCGGCAGCAGCAGCAGCAGCAACGAAACGATTAATAGCGAGTCAAAGGATTAGCAGAAATAACAACAGCAACAGCAACAAAACATTTCACAAGCGCAGACGAAGGCGAAGCAACAGCAACAGCATCAGCAATGAAGCGCCATCTAGCGCCTATGTGGCACTGCTGCTACTGGCCACCAGCTGCTGCCTAGATGCCGCTTCATCCTCATCCTCATCCTCAGCTTCAGCTTCATCTTCCTCATCTTCAGTAGCAGCAGCCTCAGCCGTAGCCGCAACAGTATCTGGTGGCATTGCCTCCAGCTCACCCTGCGCCCCACAGCACTGGTGGGATCCGGTGCGGGACAGGTGCACCGCCTGCACCGTCTGCCAGGGCGAAATGATACCGCTGCGTCCCTGCCAGCTGCACACGAACACCATTTGCGGCTCCATCTACGACTTGAAGATCGATTGGGTCGTACTCGCCAAGACGGAGCCCAACTGGAAGGAGGTAAGACAGCGAGACCGCAGGACCTTGCTTTGCCTTGTGCTCCGGCTTCCAGGTTTGATTTTGATGTTCTTTTTGCTCGTTGCAGCGCCGAAAGTCGTCGGAGTATGAGCACTTTGAGCCGGATGCTGCACCGCTGCAGCATTTGACGCACGAGCAGTTGCAGCAGCTGCACGAGGAGGCCGCTGCCGCCTGGGCCCTGGACTGGCAGACGGGCGTGCTCTATGTGGCCGTGCTCACCTGCCTCATCTTCTTCTCGGTGGCCGCCTGCATACTCATCCATCACATGCGGCAGTGGCGACGCATGGAGCGGCGCTTGGATCAAGGTTGGTTCTATTTCCCTACTCGCTACTCGCTACTCGCTGCTTTCACACGCTACTTTCGCACGCTCTCTCTGTGTCTCTGGTGGCACATTGTTTGTGAATGCAAAACGTGTTGCACCTCCACTCCTCCCTCCTCCTTTGTGTCTTCGAATCACAAAATTCTCATGCCCCGAATGCCCAAAACGCTGCATGCTTCGCATGCCCAAGTGGCCCTGCCCCACCTGCCCCTCAAAGTGGCGACGCGCGGGCACCAGAACAAGACACTTTGATGTATGGCCCTGTCCACCGTCTGTCCAGCGCTCTGGGAATCCAAAATCTCATTCCAGCACGAGCATCGTGGAGGATCGGATCGGATCGGATCGCATCGGACCTGTGCCTCAGAGCATATTAATGGTGCCGCCACTCCCCTTTCGGCTGAGAGTGCTGCCGCCTGCTGCCAAAGTAGAACGAATCGTCCAAATATTTGGCGCGACGACAACGACAACAGCGACTACAGCGACGACAGCGACGCGTTTTGCATGCAAAATAAAAGCGAGAAGCGAGCCGAGCGAACACACAATTAGCAGGCACTGTGGGCGCGTATTTGGATCTCCGCTGCCTGTGGCCCCAGGAGAGGCAGAGGATCGCCTGTCCAAACTCTCACACAGACAGAGAGAGAGATAGAGAGAGTCTAACTTCTAGCTCAGAGCTCGGAATATTGTTGCCCATGTGCCCATGTGCTGTGTGCTGTGTGGTTGTAGTCCAGACGGGCGCCACATGTTGCCGCATTGGACAACATATTAGTTGCAAAAAGGAAAGAGCCTACTGCTGCTGCTTCCAGCTCTTCTGGCCAAACATTTTGATACGGAAATCTCTTGTGTAATCATAATTCAGAGCGTGTCAACGTGTTCCCCTCCACGTCCCCCTGCGCCTCCGCTGCCGCTGCCGCTGCCGCTGCTCAAGGACAAGCGGATGTTTGTGTGGAAATTTGGGAAATCATGTCACAGCGCCGGAAAAACATGTTTCCATGTCAGGCCAGCAGGCGGCAGGCAGAAGGCAAAAGGCAAAAGGCAGGAAATGCCCAAAGGCGGCCGAGAATTCGGTGATCATTGACAGATGAAAATAGTTCGATGGGGGGGGAAAGGGCAGGAAGAGTCTTGAAGCGAAGTGTTTCTCCCCCGATCACGTCCACGCCTATAAATAGGAATGCCCCCCCCCCCCAACCCGGTCCCTTGAGCAATGATTGAACATCGACCAGCTGCTGCCACTACAGGAAGTTGTTGCGCTGCCACGAAGGTGCAGGCGGCATTCAAGTGCAACTATTGACAATTGGGGCCTGCCTGCCTGCCTGCCTGCCTGCAGATCTCTTGCACAAATGTTGCACAATGAGTGTGCAACAGCGCTCCAAAAATAGAACAGGGACAGGGCGTGGAGGCAAGTCCACTCTGGGAGTGGTTCGTTCCCCCAGTCTTGGCTGCCTTTTGTTTCCTGGCCTTTGATTTAGATCGCTGCTGTTGCTGTTGGTTGTTGCTTTTATTTACTAATCAGCTGCCATGAGAGATTTCCCAGAGATTCTCCAGCGCTGAAACGCACAAAATGGTTTTTCCACGGAAAATGGAAAGTTTTAACCAAACAAAAACACAACTGAAAAACACACGCCGTGCCGCTGCCGCTGCCGCTGCCGCTGCCACTGCCCTGAGACTTCAGAAGTGAACTGCAAAAACGAGAAAATTGGGAAATTTGGAAAAATCGTTTCCTCGCTTGTTGATTTTTCTGCTGCTCGCTCGATTGTTTATGGAACTTAATTTTCGGTTTATAAATAAATGATAAATTATCTGCTGCAAAAAACAAAGAGTAAGAATGGAAGCGCGCCGCTTGTTTACATTTGCCTGCCCCTGCCCCTTCCCCTGCCCCTGCCCCGCTTCAAGCAATTTAATAAATATATTGAAACATTGATCGGTCCCAAGGCTGCCATTGCTGACTCACTTCCGTCTCTTTCTCCCCTTGCAGATGTGGAGGAGCTGTCGACCAAGCTGATGGCGAAGCTGGCGGAGGTGCAGAGCCTGGATGGCGGCACCTTCTTCATTGGCAATGCGGATGCCCTGCGTGGCTTGCCCTCGGCTGCTGCTGCTGCCACGACGGCAGCGACGGCGGCACAGTCGGGCATCTTTCAGCCGCAACATGTGCTGCTGCCGGGTAAGTGTCCTTCGGGGTAAGGGCGGGATTGCATTTAAATCGATACGAAAATCGATATGAAACGATCTGAGCGGTGACAATAGCCGCTTAATGGGCCCACCCACCCATCAATGTCCCTTGATCGAAATGCAAATGGGAGGGGAACTGAAACTGAGGGGGGGGGGGGGGGGGGGGG